TTTTAATGGTCTCAAAGTAAACGCAACAAAAAATATGACATCCCAGCGTTTTCCTGTGTGTTAGTGAGCTCAGTCAACCTTCACTGGGTAAGTAAAGGTTAAGAGCAGCAGATAACTTCATGCAGCAAACTGAAAGAAAGCAGCAAACTTGGGAACATGCCGGGAAGGTTATTGGAAGAACTCCAGCTGCTTTTACATTTCTCTGAGATTCAGATGACAGGAACAAACAATTTGTGACAAATTACAGACGGCAATCAAAACCGCTGACAAATCCTCTCTGCACCTCTCCAGTCGTGCTCCTCTGTTCTGTCCTCCTAATCAGTTGTTTACATTATTTCACTTCATGCTAATTTCGGAATAAGAATTTAAATCAAAGCGGCGTTCAAACACTGTTAAACATGACCCGAGGCATTCTCGTCACCCTCGAGCTTTGCTTGAATCTTGCGTTTACTCTTTGTCAACTGTTCTACATTTGAATACAGAATACAGAGCCAGAGGAGATTAATCTGTTGTCCTAATGTGGGTTAAATCATTCCCACAGTAAGCAGGAAATGACTCATCATCTTCTGTACATTGTTCCTCCAAAATATACACCGCACTGTTTGGACATTTACACTCTAAGCAGTTGATAGCCAGCACGCGCACATCCTGTTCTGCAAAAACGCTGAATGGGGGTGGAAAACAGGTCATTAAGAGCAAAACAAAAACAAAACCAAATGAAGAAGCACAAAGAGATCTGAAAGTAACCCGCTCGAGTTTCTTTTTACAGGTGGTTTAAATTACCGACTGACATTTTAGAAAGTGAAGCTCTGAATTCTAGTAAATCTCCACAGGAGTATTCACACTGCAGAGTCCTCTGTTTCTCCAAAACCAACTGGTGCATCATTACTTGTTGTTTTCATTACTCATTATATTATAATATAGTGTGAAATGATTACTGTAGCATCATGCGGTGAACTGAAAAAAAGATTTGAGCACCTGTTGCAGGAAACATTTTATGAGAATCGCTGTTGCCGTTCAATCTTTGTGTCTAGGTTTCCAGGAGCATGTGCCAGAACTCTTTATTCAGAGGCACCATGTGGCAAAAAATATCTTATTAATGTGACTGAGTCAACGAGCAGCAGGATCAAAGTAAATATAACATGTTTATCGGTTTCACCTTCCTTATCAAGGCAGCATTCATTCTCCATAATAAACCCATTACTGAGTCTTATGCCTTTGCCTCCCGTTCTACTCGTTTTTGAGCTTCCTCTCATCGCAAATTAACTTCTCAAAAGGTTCTTTCAGAAGAGACAAATAAATGAATTTTCTAAGTGCACCAAGTTCAATTATCCATCCGTCTTCAAAAATATACAGTCTGTCACATCATCTATGAGAGGGAGCAGCTGCATGGTTGGTTATACAGTATTTCCCAGAAAGGAAGACAAAAAAAGACAAGCTTGTAAGCCAGCAGTATAAACTGTTGCAGTCATATCTCCCATTTGGAGGTATTTGTTGAAATAAACATCACGTTCAAGAATCTAATTATATCACTTCACGTTACTGCCTTTAAAAAAAATAAATAGTCACAAGTAAGGCTATTGTTTCGGGATTAAATGGTCAATATACTCTAATGTGGCCCAGTTTTTACTGGTCGGACAACTCTGTGTGCATGAACTCTGTGTTCCAGTACTGGTCCACTACTTTTGTCTACAGAAAAGAACCTGTGGAAAAACCAGATGTCAAGCTTAAAGTTTTCTGTGTCTGTCTATGTGCCACAGGAACTACATTCTCTGGTGGAGAAACAATTTTTAAATGTGCAAATTATTAAATTAAGTTGTGCTTTGCTAAAAACAATGAATGAAGCAACACATTGTCACAGGAACGTGCATGTATTGATTTCTATTCATCTGCTAGAGGAATACAGAGCGCACAAAGAATACCTGTTCAAACAATGAAATGAATTTCAGTTTAATCTGCTTTTAAGCTAAAGAGATTTCCACGTTCACTTTATTATCCTATGGGGCAGTAACAGTTTAAATGCATCCAGTTTAAGGTTTCAGAGCTCTAGAAATAAACAGCAGGACTGAGCTTGCACTCAGTGATAAAATTATTAACCTGAATTAAAATGTTTAACACGCTATACACAGATTAATGATTTTTCTGCTGCATTAATCTCATCTTATTTGCAAAAGTTTTGCATTCTAATGCTATCATTTTGTTATTTAGAATCTCTTAATCACTTACTTATCGGACTTATCATCATCAGATAACATCATAGGGATAAGTTTGTATGGAAAAAAAAGAGTAACATGACCCACAAAATGTCCCTTTTAATGCAAATGTGCAGAGACCTGAAGTGGAAAGCCCGGCTTAAGTTGTTAATTACTGTCATGATACCCATTTCCAACCGGCCTGGCTGTACTGAACTTGTCTCGCTGTAATACCTTTCAGGTGTTTAGAAAACTTGGTGAGCGGATTTATAATGTTGATTTCCAGCACTGTATTTTATTCTACTAAAGCAAAAAGACAACTTTCTTCCGATTGGCTGACCCTCGTAAGCAAAAGGTTTGAAGAATGGGTCAGTGGGGTTTCTGTACCCGCAGTCAGAGCCGTGACGACCATATTAGGGATATCCATTCTCTGTGAAAACCAAGAGTAGAAAAAAGACCCTGTCTGAAACAGAGAGTTTAGACTTTAGCCTGAGCTTTTTGCTCACAGGGATTACTGAAGCAAACAATGACCTCCATCCACCACTGTCACAATATTTTTATATATGACAAAAAAAAAGGAAAACATAGTATATCCACTTTAGTGTTAACATTTATTGAAATTCTGCTTGGCTTAAACTTAGTAAGACTGAATTAAACAGATGGCTGAAAGGTCAAAGTTTACTTACAGCTCAACAACCAGCATGACATACTTTGAAAACTGTAGACTAACTGTTTAAATTCATGTGACGCTTTGGTTGTAACTATATCAGAATTGGCATATCTCAATGCGTTATTGATCTAATAATTAGCCATTGTTTATATCCCCCCATATATCTGGTTATTAAAGTAGAAGATAAGGTGGACAAATGTAAGAACAAAACTATGCTAACATGTCAACTAAACTGGGATCATATATAATGATATTCTTCTATTCTGAAAGATTATATGACTAAAATCAGGTGCACAGTCTGCTCTGAGACTTATTATTATCTGTAGCAATCATTTCATCATCAAAACGAGAGCAGCATTGTCAGATTGAAGTTTTTCCTCAAAGGTTTCCTGGTTTTATTTTTTGGTTGCCAAATTCATAATTAAAAATTAAATTTAATAAATGACAGCAACGATAAAGGCGGGCTTCCAGCCACTCAAAAAAATAAATTAATTACAAAATAAATAAATAAATAAATCACAAAGCGTCATCACAACAGGTTGCTCTGTATAGAGTTTGAAGCTGGAGTTGTGTAAGCAGGAGAATGTGTAAACCACCACACCATTTTATTCAAATATAGATCCAATATGTAGAAGGCTAAATCAAAAATTTCTTTATAGGAAATTGCAAGTTTTAATGTAGACATGACACTAATGAAAAGGGTATGTGTTTTGGTCGTTTTAAACTGAAGCAAACTGGGTACTGTATGTTGTACCACTACTTTTAATAACCTTGAAAACCTTCAGTGTCTATATGAAGTGTGGGTCCTCACAGGGGCATACAAAATAATTTGGGACCCTCGGCTTCCTCTGCTTGGGGAGTTCCAGGTGCTTCTGTCTGGGAGATTGTGTGGTTTTCCCAAGAATAGCTATAAAAAATAAAATAGAAAAGAAAGAAAAGAAGAGAAAAGTAGATAGTGTTGGACTACTATCTGCAAAGTTTTACTCTGCCGTGTATGTGCATGTGCTAAACTGGCCTAAACTGTTCTAATGCAAGAAGCTACAATACACTCCCGCTCTTATCTCAGATGGCTTTATCACTCAAACACACACACTTGGAAAAGATAATCTGCAGGTCGTTTCCAGGCAGGCTATGTCTGTCGTTCCTGAAAAATCCTAAAGGGAAAACAAGATAACTCCCAGAAAGTCTGCTATGGCTGGAGAGTTTTGACTCATTTGCAGTGTTTCATCAGTGACCTGTACAGCAGCAGTCTAAATGTAAACAAATAAAAGTAAGTCTAAATAACTTTTAGGTGGATTTTTAAAATGCATTTAATGTAATACTTTCATCATAACTGATCATTTTCCATTCAGATCCTCTAATGCGTCCTTCCTCCAAGTCAGTATGAACCTCTGCAGAAAAAAAATGTCCCCATATAATTTTTCAATGCATCAGTGACCCCAAACAATCAGACAAGAAGAACAAGGAGCAGTGCAGCCCTGATCTCACACTGCCACTCAATTACAAAACCCCCAAAACATAATAAAATAAAATAAAAATGCTCCACACACTGAAAAAAATTCTACGGAAGAAAAACAGAAACTTTACTGATAGCCTGCGTGGAGTTAAGTGGTCAGCAGATTGAATGAAAAACTACTGAAGCGACGCTGCTGCAGTGCTGTCACTGTCATTTGATTTACATGTGGCTCATCGGTCCACATGACCCGTACTGTGGTACAGTGACCACGGGAGGACACAAGACTCCTGCGTGAAAAATGACGCCTCGTCCGTTCTTCCTTTTTTCTCTGTTTTAATTTAATTTAAATTTACCCAGTTCTCATTCGGGTAGGGTAAAGGTAAGCAAGGAGGGTGTGGCGGCGGAAGGTTTCTGTGAGCAATATCCTACAGCACCTGTCCGTCCACAGGTGTAGCTTACAAAGCCAATGGTTTTATTAGAAAAACGAAATAAGACCGGATCACCCTTTGTCCACCCCACGGATCTGACCGGAGCTCGCATACCCACAAATCAAAAGCATTAGATAAACACACAAGCACACACATACACAAAAACACACCCAGCCTTCCCTCCCTGCCAGCCGGGATCTCCGAGCAAACAAAGCGCACACTCTAGGTTTTAGGATAATCGTGTCTGTACTCACCCACCAACAGCAGGCGTAGATGAACAGCATGAATTTGATGATATAATAGGAACAATCAGCACAACATTTAGACTCTCCCTCTGCCATCGTGTCTGGACGGAGGATAGTTTCTTTCAGCGGCTCTTTGGACTGTTGACAATTCACTTCCGCGTTGTCCTCGTCATAGCACCTGGAAACGCGCGTACAGTGTGATATATGGACGGTCGAAGGGGGCTGGTGGATGTGAGCTTGTGCAAGACTTTTAACTTGTAGAAGTTATGTGACATAAGTACATTAATAAAATCCAATTCAAATTTTATTAAGATTCAAATCTTTGCCCAATTAAGGACGTGGTCATTTTAAGTGACAGATGGGTTCGCTTCCCGTTGTTTATTGTCAAAAAATAAAACAATAAAAAACTTCTTTGATTTTTCTGGGGCTTGCTGTTCAGTTTGTTTTAAGCCTCTTTTTAATATTTTTGTTTAAACTGAGTATCTACCTGGTTTTTACTATCACAGTAAATTACAAAGGTATCTTTCAAGCTAAGCTATCCAGCATATAGTTGTTACTGATAACAAGCTCCTATGATAGGTTAAAAAACCAACACACATGATTGAAAGAGCCAAACCGGAGACCAGCAGAACAACTTATGAACAGTGCGGCTATTTCACAACATCTTCTGTACTTTGCCCAGGTATTTCTAACCCATTAACGTACACGCCTATGTAAATATCTAGAAGTTTTTGGGCAGCCTGTGTCAGCAATAGCTTCACCACACTGTGCAGGTCTACAGTTTGACGTTATTATCTGTATCTCACCATTTTATGCTGTAGGGTGTTCAGAAGTAAACATGACAAACACTGAGTTTGCATGGGACAAAATGGGACTGAGATGTAACCCTAAATTTTCATAACTCACAAATAAAAATGCAATAAACTGTGCAGGATAAATATACATTTTGCTCTATTACTGAGTAAATACAATAAGGATAAAGGGAAGCTAAAGTTTGTTCTTTTGCTTTCACGTGAAAGTCTTTATATACTCCTGTAATCTCTTTTATTTCTCTGTTATTTCAACTTCTCTTCTGTCTGGATGCATCCAAATTAAAACACAGCACAGTTTGGATGTAGCCACAGGCTGCCAAAGCTGGCAATTTTAGCAATCTTTATCTACTGTGTCCCTCCACTTCCTGTTCAGAAAGAATAGAAACTCTATTTCTAGGAACATAATGGCACTTCCTTTTTTTAGGGTTGTTTCCGTCATATCTAACAAAATTTGCAAAGATGAACCGGATCAATGTTTTGGGACTTTAGAGAAGTGCATTTCCTGCAGAGCCAGTCAAAATGTGGGACATTGTTTGAAGATGTGGAACAAGGGAACAAGGAATAAAAATGCTGTGGAGATCCACATAAAGACAGACGTCTGGACCCGAAACTATTGGGAGAAGGTAGACTCTTTCTTATCTGCTATCATTTTATTTTAAGATTAACATGGCCACAAAGTGAAGATGAATACATTCACATACTTTGATCTGAGTCTTGTTTGTACTCTAATCTGATGCTGTTGAAAGCAAAAAGTCAAGGAAAAACAAGATAAAGTCCACTGTGAACACGATTCATTCCCTCTGTTTTTAGAACAAAACAAGTATGAAATACACCAATGCAATTAAAATGTATTAACTCAGCATTTTATACAAGACTGGATTTTTCGACAAAGTGCACTTCAAGGAGACGGACTGTGTTATACTGAAACTGGTTTACTGGCACAAAGTGACTCAGAAGAGAGAGTGAATGCAACAGGCTCTGATCTGAATGCGAAGGATTTGTTCATCGAGGCTGTCATGAGATGCTGGTGGGTGGACAGGCAGACAGCAGGACGGACCAGCTCGACTAGAAAAGCAGAGCAAATATGTTGCAAAATGTACCCGGGGAAACACCAAAATACATAAATGCAATCTAGGAGCCTGAGAAGATAAGCATTTATCTTCTTACATTGGCTCCCCATTAAATACTGTATTGACTTTAAAATTCTTTTGATCACTTTTAAAATTTAAAAAAACTTGGCGCCTAGCTACCTAACTGATCTCCTGCACTTGTACAACCCCAAGAGAGCACTAAGATCTTCGAGTCAGTTGCTTTTAGTGCAACCAAGGTCTCGGTTAAAGACCTGAGGTGATCGAGCCTTTGCTATTGCTGCACCTAGACTCTGGAATAATCTCCCAGCTGATATTCGCATGTCTGAGTCTATCCAATCTTTCAAATCGCACCTAAAAACTCACTTGTTTACTTTTGAATCAAACTAGTTTGACCTTCATCTGGTTTGCTCTGCACTATGCAAAAGTGTTTTTTATTCCCTGTTTGCTTGTTATGCTCTGTCCTGAATTTTATGTGTCTTGTGGTCGACTGTGAAGCACTTCGATGATGATTATTGGTCTTTCAAAATGTGCTATAGAAATAATCTTTGATTTGAAGCATTCTCCCACAGAATGCAAGCAGGCCCATATATACTGCTCCTGATGACAATGACAGGAAGCAGGTACAGTGGCTGAAAGACGGGAAACCAAAGACCCCACCAAAAGGTGAAGACAAAACCTGCCACTTCCAGCCAGAACTCAGAGACCAGAAACAACAGGAACAAACAAGTGCAGGACTATTACATAACTGGGCCCAAGCCTCAAGTGGTACAACAGGAAAGTACAGTTTCTTCACCATGTAAATTGACCTAATGACTACCCGAATTATTGCCCCACACACGGGCATTTGTTTTATACAGATACCTGCTTACTAACCCGTCTGTCTGGCCATAAGAAATTATGTGAGATGAGCATGAACCAACCGTTAGAAATGTGTCATCGTAGCAGAAACCTGAACGGCAAACATACTCTTATCACTGTTTTCACAAAGATAAACATGTTTGTTTTCTTTATGCTAATGCAGCAGATATATGAAGGTAAATATACTGCCAAATATTAGAGGCTGTAGAATTAAATATGTGAATGTGCAAAAAAAATTTCAACTTGAGCAGCTGTTTTAACTGATTCGAGAGGCTGTGATCAGAGTTGTGGAAATAGTAAAAGAAATTAAATAAATATCAATAAAATCAGAATTACAAGTTTGAAGCTCTCAGTATATCTGTGTAAGTATCAATCTCCACATTTATTCATATTTTTGTAACTGTAAATTTAAAACACAAGCATGTGAAAACTTTTTTTCCTGTGTAATTCAGTGGTGCATTTTGATGACCACAGCCGTTCACTAAACATACTCCTGTGACTGGCAAGCGCATCATGGAGTGCGTGGGAGGTATTGTCCTTATCTTGGTCAATATCTTGGTCAACTCTCCGACACCACCTTAAGAGAGTCCATCGCCACAACATTACTTTCCTTGCGGATCAGTCAATTGAGTCTGTTGGCATCTGCGACTCGATAAACAGATCCGATACACACAACTTACACATGCATATCCGATCTTCTTTAAATAACCGCCTATCAAAGAGTTCACAGCACAGACTCTATCCAAAGCAAACATTCAAATCCCTGAATATATATCAGAGGATCAGAAGACATCGGATGTGATAAACCAGTCATTAGTTTGTATATGATAAATCGCCATCCCTCGCCTTTTTAGCTGCTGTAGCGCCCTTATTGCAGTTTTCTAAGCACCAAAAGCAGCAACATCTTAATCAGCAGTGACTCGGCCAACAAAACATTTCACATCAATAGGAGGGAGCTGTGTGATTGGCTGTTTCCCCCCTCTTGGTACTTTTCTTACTTATACATCACCTTTATTACTTTCTTCAGTCAGAAAATGACCTTGGAGTGAAAGCAACAAAGAAACTCAAAGATTTTCAAGTGTTATGAAATTCAACCTTCAGCAAAATAAGAATTTTTGTGTCCTCTGGTTGCCTGGGAGTACAGACTGTCTAGTTTTTGTAAAGTATTTATTTGAGATGTGTTCAGGTGCAACTGAAGAGTCACTGCAGGTGTCTATTTCTGTGTTTGCTAGTTTAGGTGGTGAAAATGAGTTTCTTCCCCTCTTGATTAGGTTTTGACCCTTGATAGCCAGCTCTTGCCCAGATTCACTCGGGCAACCACATTTATTAAGAACTGCTACACCTTCTCAGAAACTTTAAATTTTTGGGCCTGCATCCTTCAGCGTGTCAGTCACTGGGCAAACAAGCTTGTTTGATCACATGAAAGTACACACAGGCAGTGCACATTGTACACAGTCAGCAAACTCTACCTTTGGTCATTCTGTTCACTAATTACATGCACAGGCATATGCAGTAGATTTCCCCTGCAAGGCAGGAATGTGAGGAACGGGCATGCAACGAGAAGCAGGTAACAAAGTGAGAAACTATCACAGAAGCACAAAGCACAAAAATCTACAACAGTAACAGTGAGACTGAAAAAAACATCACTGGAGTCACAATCTGCCTGTTTGCACTGTGAGATATGTTGTTGAATTTCTTCGAGGATAAACTCAAAGTCAATGCAATGACAAGAGGGTTTGTGTTTTTTTTACAAACAGTATAAAAGAAAGTGTACATGGAGTGTTCTTAGAGGCACCTTCTAGCTGGTGATAAGCAATGTGGATAGAAAGCACACTCTTAGAAATAGGGGCACAATATAAAAGTCAGTTTCTGTAAATACAGAACCTACACTTGCTTTGAATTTTAAGTTGCAGCGTCAGGATACACTCTGACACATAAAGATAAAGAAATTATGCACAAAAATACATTTTAATCTTAGACTTTAAATGAGACACATTTAATACAAAGTAGTATAATTTTATATCTGATTTGTATCTGTGACATAACGGGGAAGGGGTTGCTGCCTGGTTGACTATTCCTGGTCTCTGTGTCCTCTGTGTGTCTAACAGCCTTACGTGCAAATTTTAGATAAATAAAGCTTTGAATTGCCAGCAAGACTAGGCTGAAACAAAGTCGGTACAAAAGTCAATATTTGGTGTGACCACCTTTATCCTTCAGCACAGTCTAAACTCTCTTAGGCAAGCTTTCTTTTAATTTCTTTAAGTGGTCTTCAGGAGTAGTTGTCCAGGGTTACTGAAGGACATTCAAAACTCTTCTTTGGCTGTTGGCTGCCTTTTGTTCTGTTCTCTTTCAAGATGCATCACTAATGTTGGGATCTGGACTCTGGGGAGCCCAGTCCACCACAGGTGTTCCACCATGTGCTTTTCTATCCAGGTGTGCTTTTACTGTATTGACAATGTGTTTGGGATCATTCTCATGTTGAAACATGAAGCTGTTCCCAAGCCGATAATTTGCAGATGGTATTTTACCATGCATCAACATCTGACAGGACTTTTTTGTGTTCATAATTCCAACAATTTTGACAAGATCCACAACACAAAAAGGCTGCAAACCATGACAGAGCTTTTATCGCGTTTTGCAGATGGCTATGGACACACACTGTGGTAACACCCCCCCGACCCTATTATCAAATATTAAGGACAAACTGCTCACCATGCTTAGACATGCCAGGTTTTCAGCTAATAGCTCTTTGGGACTCACCTTGTTGATGCAAAAATACAAAGATACTACTGGTCTGATGGTCATAGTATATTTAACAGCAAGAACAAAAAATATTACGCTGAAAGGTACAAAGATTTTAAAAGTTACAACAAAGTCTTGCTCCTTTAAAGCACAATGTAAAAAAAGAAAAAAATAAGGGGGAATCATTTCTTGGACATTTTCACACTTAATGAGCAAAACGTTTTCAAAAACATGATGCATCTCAGTTTCCCCTCATTCAGTGATTCAGCTATCATTACATGCTTTCCCATTGACAGATCAAAGTGCATTCATAAAGGTAAAGCTGTCACACACAGTTTTTTTTCTAAAGTAAACAGCATGTTTTAAACACTTCATCTAGATCCAGAACTTTCAGTTCGTTTTTGTTCCTGTGAAGAAATGTTTGCATGACATCAACACACCAGGAATAGCAGTAATTTCAATGAAAAACCACTGAGTGCACAGCAAGTATCATACACTTTAAAGCCAAAGCCAACCAGCAGACCAGATCAGACCCTCTGGTGTTCAGACAACATGTCTGACAACTCTACCACTCCAGTGACAAACTGCTGCATTTGAGTTTTTGTGGCTTCATATTTCTTCAATATAAGCACAAAAAGACTGTCTATAATTTTATGTGAAGAGAACCCTTTCCAGTCCAACACATGGATTGTTCCTAAGAACAACACACAACTCACATGTAAATACTTTTATTCAGGTTTATGTTTTACTGCAGTTTGGCAGTGATACGATCTCCTGGAGACCTGTTAGTGTTTTGTCATGTTTCAGAGGCACAGCTCTAACTGAAAGTAGACAGCTGCAGCCTTTTTAAATGTGTGACTTTTCAAAAACTGCAAGCACAGGGCTGGACTTAAACAAGTATCATGGCATGACTTTTTAACATCACTTTCAACTCTGCGGCACTTTTCTGTTTGCCTCAGATAACTGCATTAGATAAAATATCAAAACTGCTACTCTCTTGGGCACCTCTTTTGTTTTTCATTGGGAGAAATTACTCATTACCAGACTCCACATAGCAAAATTGGTATGGCCCTGATCTGGCCCACACAATGTGCTTACACATGGCCCACATACCGCAAAGAATGATGGCCCTTTGGTGGCCCAGATCAGGTTTACCAGAGGTGGCCCACACATGGGCCAGCACGTGGCCAGTTGCAGACACACTGCTGGCCCAGATGTCAGCCTAATGTGTACCTTAATCAAGCCATGTAATAACAACATGTGCCGGAACATAACAGTCCAAAAGTAACATGACGAAACTCTGTTCAGACAGTGAATGGACTGATTTTTATATAGCGCTTTTCTACTCTCCCACATTACTCAGAGTACTCTATACAATATGCCACATTCACCCAACGACACACTTTCTCTAAAACGGGTGCTACTTTCACACTCTTGCAGACTGGAAGAGCCAGAGATCGAACCACTAACCTTCCGATCAGTAGGTGACCTGCCCTACTGCCTGAGCTACAGCCACCCACTGGCAAAGATGAGTAAACCGTCACTAGGTTTTGAATAAAGTGTACACTCACAAACCTGTCAAATCTGTACTTGAAAAGTTGGCTACTATAGCAGTATAGTGTTACAACATGGCATTTGAGTCTTCTAACTAAAATAGGAACATAAATAGTGCCATCTTTGCCGGACCTAGCCCACATGTGGTTGACAGACACCCTGCCATGACACCGGTCAGTCAGTAGTGCCAGCTTGATGCCAGATCAGGGCCAGACCTGTTTTCTATCAGCCTGGGCAACATAACCCAAACTACAATCGGGCCAGATGTGGCATGCCATCACATAAACAGTGCCATCTATGCCGGGCGTGGCCCATATCTGGATGAAATACTTTTTATCATGCCAGAAGTCAACCAGCAGTGCAGGCTTGATACCAGATCCGGGCCAGACCTGCTTGCTATGTGGGACAGTGTGAGCTGAATTCTGGTAAATGCTGGATTTCTGCTGTGCATTTTTTTTAATGACTAAGTGGTAAGAACAAGATGAAGAACCTCAAACAAAATTCACAGACACAAACCATGTTCCTCAAAATTGAACAACAGTTTGGAAGGCTAGAAAAAGCATGCAGAAGGTGTAGACAAGAGAGTCTCATAATCCTGCTGCTTTTAACAATGCAGTTAAAAAAGAAAGACAAACTCTCTACAGTCATGCAAAAATCCACAAATGTAATCTCTTGGTGGGGACATTCTTGCTTAGATGGATTTGTAGTGATTGCAGCTTGGCTGAACACCTCAATAATAGAAGAGCTTCACTGTTGCTTTCAGAGTTTTATTGAAAACTCAATTGAAGAATCATTTTTTCTCTAGCTCTCACCTGATTGTGCATTTTTAGCACGCTCAAATCCACAATGAAAAAGGGTGAATGAGCGCAGCATTCTCTCTTCTAGAGGCTCTCAGTATGAGACCACCAGGATAGACACATATGTGTGTCCTCGTTTATTGTTTTTTTGTTTTTTTTTTTTGTAGGCATAGAAGATGGGTAGTGCTGATGGGTTCGGGCAATTTCACAAGAAACCATCTCAAGTGTTTCAGACTTGTCAAGCGGTGAAAATTGACGGCTGTAAAGAAATTACAGCAGTAGCGGTAAAATGCAGGGGTACACCTCTCTCTTTCCTTCTTCTCGGACCACCCTAGCTTTCCCGTTCTCTGTCCAGGCTCTTACATTTGTTTCCCCCTCTCCATCATCTTGTTGATATTCGGCTATTTTAGAGGTGGAGTACGTAAATCAGGCACTGCTCTCACAAGTCTCGCAATTTTTAAATTTTCTGTTTAACTCTTAGTTCTTTCCATCACATTTATCTTTCTTGTTAGACGTTTATTTTGTCAGGATTTTACACCTCGTACCTCTCTTCATCTCTCTCCCTCTGGTAGTGGAGGATTTTGGCGCGACTCTGCGCGCACGGTAGCGTGCCTGAACGTCTGCGCTTCTCACTCTCAGATCAACATGAGCAAGTCACACATTCCAGTAGAGAGAGGCAGAATATATGCGTGTGTGAGAAGGAGTGAGCGGGGAATCCGGAGAAATACCTTAATGGATTATTGGATGGACCTGTTTGTCCTTTACGCAGAAGGAATCTGATTTTTGGACAAAAGCAATGGATTGAGTTTCAACTTGACCATTAATAGACGGGTAAGACAGATGAAAACTAATAATATGATTCAGGTTTAGGTTTTCTCCGGGTATTGTCCAGTGCATGAATTTATCACTTGTGGAGTTAAGGCAGCCAAAGAAACACACTGTATGTGACAAATGTGCGTAATTCATGCTCAGTCGTGCATCTATTTAGTTAATCTCAAAGCACCTTTAATGAATTAATAAATGAATTAAGATATAATAAAACAAAATAAGAAAGAAAGTCATTTTTATTTTATTTTTTTTAAAACAATCGTCTTGTAGCAAAAAAAATTAAGCTGTCGGGAGAGTCTGGAAGTTGTCACCACGGTAATACTTGCATCCTGTTGTTAATGCTTGTAATCAAAAGCCGGATGCCGTCACAACGATTGATATGGTTGTCTCAAATCAGACTCAAAAACTTTAATACAAATTGAAACCGCCCTAAAGACTACAATGAACAGCAAGGAGATTAACACATTCGCACCTTGTTTTGGAGTTGATGCAGTTTAAAGCTAGTGCGTGTTGAAGTGGGAAAATAAGCTATTATTGGGGTGGTTTCAGTGCCTCTAATTATAGCGTACAAAATGAAGAAATCATTTTATAGACACAATGATACACACGCGAGTGTATTTACTCATAATCCCCCTACAAGAGAGTGTTTGTTTGTTTGTTTGTTTGTTTTTAATTTGTCGGTCATTGTGGACAATTACGCATGACGCACAACGTATATACAATTATATCTACAGGTTCTGTCACCGGTAAGACAGAAAGCCAACATGGACGCCGGTAGTCTGATACAACATATTGAACGAGATGAAGAGACCACTTCGTGGCCATTGTCGATGACCACTGAGTGGTTGGAGGACGGGAACGAGACGACCTGGAATCAGTTCCAACAGCCCGACTGGCAGGTGAGAGAAAAACACTGAGATAACAAATGAAAGTGATTAAAGTCAGAACTGCAGAATGTAAAAAGATGACATTTTGATGATGATATTAATGAAAGAAGTAAGAAAGACGACTCAGTGAAGTAAACAGGTGTATTCTTTTTTTTACTTGTATAATGTTGAAGGGTAAAAACCATATGTCAGTGACATCATTGTTGTGAAATCTAAGTAAAGTGCCTGAAACAGACAGAAACTCAACAGAATGAAGTAAAGGCTTACTGGTGAATGTGATTTGTCTCAGGGACAAAATGTGGGGCTGATTCAAAGGACATTTTCACTTCACAGACTGTATATTAGTTAAGTTATCTGAAGGCTTTTTGCTCATTCCTCTAAACACGTTTAACTCCCCCACAGTCATTTAAACCTGCACCACACCGTGCACAGTTTACAGTCCTCTCCTCCTATCTGTGCTTGGCTGTCTGAAGTAGCTCATTGCTTTACATTTCTGCAACAGTGGTTGACTGGGTATGAACAGGTGATGGATGTCAGGGTTTTCATTTCTGGCCCCAGATAAAGTGCTGCATGTCTGTCCTATTAATTTTCTTATAGGTCAGCCAATGAAAGGAACGGGGTCTACAGATATTAAAAAATGCTGAAGATTGGTGGTTGCTTATCACAGAATAGACTTTACCTGGAAGCTGACTTTGATCGGTTTATCTCTCTTTGGGGGATGAGATAAACTAGGAATTCCCTGTGTAAAGAAACTTAAGATTTCTGAAAATGTTTGTTGTTCAGAGTTGTTACATCTCAGGAGGTAGACTGAGGTATCTACTAATTGTAAGGTTGGTGGCTCGATCTCTTTTCCTCTTGTCTGTTAGGATGCCTGGGTCATCGACCCAGGGTTTTTGAGTTTATATTATTTATACTGTCTAGTTTTTGGTTTCTTTAAGTTCCGTCTTATGGCTTATGTCTCCCCTATCACCTGCATCCCCTTGTCTAGTTCGCGTCTATGTGTATCCTAAGTTCCTATATCCCCGTGTTCAGTCAGTGTTTGTGTCTGCCCTGTTCCCACGTCTCTGTTCCCTTTGTAGTGCCTGCATATGAGTCTGTGTCTTTGTTCAGTCTCTGTTATGTGTTTCCTGTTTTACTTTGAAAGTCCATGTCTGATGTTAATGTGTCTGGTTTTGCTTCCTCTTGTCTCGTTAGGCCTGATTTGCCCCAGCTGTGTTTCCCTCCTGTTACCCATTCCCTGATTGCTCCCTCTGTGTATTTAAGCCCAGTGTTTCTCTGTGTCTGTGTTGTGATCTACTGTTTACCAAGCTGTGTGTTCTGTCTGTCCTCCGGTATTAGTTTATTTTTTTTGATCGTTTCCAGTTATGTTATATTTGAGTTTAACATTAAAACGGTTTTTGAGTTTACATCTGTCTCTGGAGTCTGCACCTTGGGTCTTATTCCTGCCTGCACACAGCCACACCTAACATTGTCATTATGTTGAGGTATCTTTGAGCAAGCTACTAAACCCTTAGTTTCCCCTGATGTATCCATCCGAGTGTGAGCGTTAGGATAAAAGCACTCAGACACAGGAAAAGATGTTTGTACAAATGGGCTAATGAGGGTTGTAGTAAGAAAATGCTTTGAGTGCTCAAATAAATTAGGAATGTGCTACAAAGGTGTCAGTCCATATACCACTTGCTGTAGACATCCTGTGCAGGGATAGGGTGGGGTTTGCAAATATATACGTATTTGTGAGTTCCTTTATTGTGTTTTTTTTTTTTTGTAACTGCGTATAAGATGCTGACATTAAAGGTCTCCTCTCCTCTCCCAGGTGGCTCTCTGGGCTATAGCGTACTCCCTCATCATCCTGGTGTCCATCACTGGGAACGTCACAGTGATCTGGATTATCCTCGCTCACAGGCGCATGAGGACTGTGACCAATTACTTCATTGTCAACCTGGCTTTCTCTGACGTTTCCATGGCGAGCTTTAACACCCTTTTTAACTTTGTGTATGCGCTTCACAATGACTGGTACTTTGGCTTGGGTTACTGCAGGTTTCAGAACTTCTTCCCCATCACCGCCATGTTTTCGTCCATATACTCAATGGCTGCCATTGCAGTGGACAGGTAAGAAGGCTCTCCTATAGAGTTCAGAATAAGTGAATACAGACAATGAACTATACTGTGCATTAAAAAAGGTAGACTGAACACTGAGCTGCAGACTGGCACAGCAGGCAATCTGGAGTACAGGGAAACCAGCATATGAGCATATGAAGTGTGGAAAAATCACAGCGTTAGGCTTGAAAATCTAGTTGTCTGAACATGTCTACAGATTAATGAGCTGTAGTTTAAATGTCATTAGAGGCGATTAGGAAAAGGCAGACATCTGTGCCGACCAGGGATGGAGTAGCACCACCTTCACAGAGTTGAACAGCAACAAAAACATAGAAACACCTACACAAAAAGGGATTTAAATAGGTGAGGGGAGGGAGACTGGGGGCATGAGCAACAGGGGAAAAAAGGGGAACTCAGCACTGGAGCCAAAGGGATCATGTGAAAAATATGAGGTCAACTGCCATTAAAATGAACAAGTCATTACATCAGAGACTCTTTTGTGCTACCAATCAGACACTAATGGGGTGACTGATCCCCATTTTATGCAAACACTATTTAGAAAGTGCATTATGAAAGCAGTCAAAAAAAGGAATCATCACAACTTAATGAAAAAAATCAACATAGTGGCATATTGTTTCAAGCAACTAGCAGATCTGGGCAAAGGCATCTCTTTTCTGCAAGAACACGGATCATTTTCAGAGTTTCTGGAAGAATAAGGGTTTCGACATTTGAGCTCAAACAACAGTTCCTTGAGGAGCATGATTTGCTCTCATTCTCAGCAGCCAGTACAAATGAAAATGCTGCATGAAGGAGATATGGGTCAGCAGGCGGACACAGATGAAACACAGATGCCAGTAATGCTTACTGGAGCATGAATGGTCAGCCCGAATAAAATATCATATACTGAGTAAGGTATAAAATCTATGCTCAGTATGTGATACTTGTAGTAAGTAGTACAAATTTATAGGACCGACCTTATGCAATATGACACTCCTTCAAGATAAAAATAATCAACATCAAAGAAGGGTGTTTCACCCTAATGACAACCGTACAGTGATTTTGAACACACAGCAGGAACACAAACTGAGAATTAAATGTGTTATTACGAACTATTTGTTTTTTGTCTTATTTTCATCATGCTTTACTTGATGAACTCAGAATTGTTCACCTATATATGATGCAGCAAAACCTCTTTGTGGATTTAGACTATCCATAAACTCTTATGATTGTAATAAAGCTATCTTATATAAAATAAACCACTATGGGATGCAAAGAAAAACTAGAAAACATCCAAGTCAGTGTGGTCCTCCTCTTGGAGGCTTGACCTAAATCCCACAGAACACCTGTGGGCTGCTGAAAAATGTCAGATCATTGATGCTTTAGTGGGGATGACCTGACAGCTTTGACTGAAACATGAAGGACACCACAGCTGTCGCAGCAACTTTCTGATTTTCCAAGTGTCCAAGTGTTTTCAGGTAGCTCTGCAAGCAAAATGATGCTGCACTAAATACTGAAACATTATAACAGCAATCAGCAATCTTTAGTATTCACAGGGAAGGAAGGTCTGGAAAATGTGCTTAGATTGCTGCTCTGGTGCTCAGGACCTGGATAACGAGCAGATAATGGAAGAAGGACTAGCTTTTTATTTTAATTTTGAAAGTGTGAATCATTTTTAAATGGTATTAATCAATTCCCAATACTCTTCTTTTCCATTACTCTTATAGTATCTACTTTGATGTGACTTTTTAAAAATCTGATGCAATTAATTGTCTTTTTTCCTTTTTTTTCCTGAAAAAAGCAGTTTATTAACCGAATCTTTCTAGCAGATCCATTAATTCTTACTGGGGTTTTTTTGGCTCAGATTGATCAAGGTGCTGGAAACTTCCTCTGAGATTTTGGTCCATATTCATTTGACAGCAGCACACTGTTGCTCCTTGTGGTCATTATAAAACTACTCTATTGGATTAAGATCTGGTGACTTTGTTTGTGTGGGTTTTCTTAAGGGACTGTGTCTTCCTCCCACAGTCCAAAGACATGCAATTAGTGGGGTTAGGTTACTTAGAGATTCTAAATTGCCCATAGGTGTGAATGTGAGTGCGAATGATTGTTTGTCTCTTTGTTTTAGGTTTGCATCAGACTGGGTAAAGGACACAGTGGGTAAAATAAGTGAAGTTGAATCCATCACCAGTTTACTAAGTAAATATACTTCTAAAGGTGCGATTGACATGAAATTCTCACCAAATGTCAGTAACAACCCATCCAATGCAAAAACGCAAAGAAATCAAACCATTGATTTCCATAAATTATGTGTAATAATAAGAAAAGACAGAGGGGGGAAAGTATTGAAGCCGCTTACTGAAATGTATGTAATACTTTGTACAAAAGACTTTGCAGGTAATGACAGAAACTAGTCACATGCTAGTCAAATCACTCAGGTGTGATTTTGACCTATTCTTCCTCACAGACAGTCTTCAAATCCCGAAGGCTCCTTGGGTCCTATGAACTCTCATCCTTAGATCAGTTACATGAAGGGTGATGTATGCGGAAAAGCCGCCCCACAGACTTTATGCTTCCAGTACTTCACAGGATTGTTCAGCAAACTTTGAACATGCTTCAACATGCTCTTTCTTTAGCAGTGGTCTGTGTCATGTTCCAGCATGGTGAGCGTGCATACAGGCCATGATGGGCGAGTGCATTGCTTGCTTTCTTTGAAGCAATTATACCTGCTGCTTCCAGGTATTTCTTTGGCTCTCCACAAGCAGTCCTTGGCTCTTTGACAACTTTTCTGATAATTCTTTTCACTCCTTTGTCTGAAGTTTTGTGGGGAGCACCTGGTCATGGCTGGTTTATGGTGAAATTCCACTTTCAGCTAATGTCCCCAACAGTGCTCACTGGGACCTAGAGTAGTTTAGAAATTCTTCTGTAACCAATGCCATCAGTATGCTTTGCAACAATAAGGTTGCAAAGGTCTTGAGAGAGCTCATTGGTTTTACCCATCATGTTTCGTGTAACACCGCAGTAATTTCAGCTGGTGTCAATAATTTCCATGTCTTTTTGCATCTCCCTTTCTTTGTGTTTTCAGTACTTTTCCCCTGTGTCATTTCTCATCACTACACATAACATATATGGTTTGATTTCTTTCCATGTGTGGATTGGATGGGTTGCTACCGACATCTAGTGAGAACTAGATGTCGGTAAAAAGGAAATAAAAACTTGTTATAGGTTCTACTTTCAAACTTTCATCTTTATGCGAAACGTTTATGTAAGATCTCATGAAGCTGTTATTATCCACAGAACATTGACAAAGCCACTCCACAATAATGTAAGTTTATGACTCATAACCACAGATGACCGATTTCACCGTAATTTTAACAATACCATGCAATAGTGCTAAGTTGAAAAAAGTAGACTGCATACTGGTTGAGATGGGTTGCCATAGCTACCGCATTCATTGGCAGTTATTAACATTATTTCACCTTCAACTTTTAATGAGGTAACTTCTGTATTATATGGTAGATTGGCGGGAAAGGAGTTTTTTAATATACCATCATTAACCTGAATTATGGGATGTCACTGATTTTTAATTATTTTTATTGTATCTGAATATTTTTTAAAAGGATTGCGTGGGTTTTAAATGGTTATTATCCTGGGCTTTCATCACTTGACCTCTGACAGTTAGCATATATTCCACAAATAAATAATTACTAAAGAAATGTTTTTGTTTGTTCAAAATAGGAAAAACACTTTGAAAAAAGGTTGTTTAAAACAAACACTCAGCAGGAACCTTTTGATTACTGCTCAGCTTTGAAGCTGTTGTTTTGCAGCTGATGGTTTGATGGATGAGTGGGTAGTTTTCTGTCATGAAAAGAAAATGTCACTTTTTTTCACACACTAAAAGCTTTAAAGCATTGCCCTGTTTTCCCTATCAGTGCACCTATGACTGAGTTTCTTTAGACAAAGACATGTGAAGGTGTAATCATACAAAAGTTTCTGTCTTTTTCAGGTACATGGCCATCATCCATCCTCTGAAGCCTCGCCTCTCCTCCACCTCTACAAAGGTGGTGATTGCCCTGATATGGATTGTGGCAGTATCACTGGCGTTTCCTCAGTGCTACTACAGTGTGACAAGATTTTATTACCCCAGAACTGTGTGTATGGTTGACTGGCCTGATGATTATGGAGGAACACATCAACTAAGGTGAAATAAAGAGGCACACACGTGCATAGATGGTGACATCGCTAACAGGTCTGTCAGTTTAGGAGCTATTTGTGCCACTCTTTAAATGCAGATGTGTGTACACCTATTTGGATTGAGCAAAAGTTTCTACTTAAGCACTGGCAAAAATATCTAAAAGAAAGTTGGACAAAAACTGAATAAAATAAATGTTTACATAGAAGGTAAAAACTTTGACCTCAAGTTGGATCTCCAACTTGTTTTTCTTCTGCTCGGCTTCATTTCTTCTAATAAAGCATTTAAAAGTGAACGAGGTTGATCAGATTTTTACATTTACAATGAAAGCAAGCGAGGAGTGGCTATGTTAAATGTTGCTATGACTGCTCAGGTTAAATCAATCTTGTGTTCATCTAAAACATCAAAGAACTCCAAGGCACTCTCCTTTTAAATAGCATTTTAAAATACCTTTATTAAATGTTGCATGCCAAAATGCATTTTGGCATGCAACATTTAATAAAGGTATTTAAGAACTTTGATTGGAAAGCTAAACAGATTTTTTAGAAAAAGTCAGCTTTTCAACTACCGGCAAACTTGATTCCCCACCGTGTAGGTGGTTTTAAGGTCAAACAAGACTATGGCATGAAAATTAAGCTTTTTAAAAAAGAGCCTTGGAAGTCTTTCATGTTTTAACTTATATATATGTCTTCCAAAGTGCACTTCAGATAACACAAATCTAAATCTAAGAAGCTCTCCTTCACACAAACTGTTCAGATCTCACATTCATGTTTACATTCATTCTTGTTCATCAACCTTGTGTTGTGTGTCCTCATAAACTCTGTGCACGTGACGGGTAGCAGAAAGATTTGTAAAGCTCAGTTATTCAAGTTTTAATAGTTTAAAACTTGAAAATAGTTTCAATAACTTGACTCTTTCATATTTTATCTATTGTATAATTCATCAAAACCTCTATAAGTTGCTAATGAGCATACATTTTAGAAGTGTGGCAGAAAGGTCGGTTATTGACACAGGTTCAAACTGCAGAAGGCAGCTGAGGAAAGGAAAAGAAGGAAAGTGTCTTCATACATGATTACTTTTGAACTTTATCTTTGAACTCCAAGGACAAATCCATCTGCCTGACTCCTTCAATTTGATCTTTATGTACTCATCTGATCTCTGTGATTGGCTTAGGTCTCCAATAACAAGCTTAATTCTCTAAAGCCTGACAAAGAAAGAAAATCACAGACAGGAAGACAGAGCCTTGGCTTCTCTGAGACCTCTTGCACTAAAACTGCTGGAAGGTTAAAATGTTTGTTGTTGTTTTCTGCCTGACATAGAAATTAAGCATTTATTATCCATGTTGCTAAACAGTTTCGAAGCAATTTCCCAGGTTTCATCAAATGCAAAAAGTAGTTATTGCTCGGTGAGAGACATGTAGAAAAGCACAAACTGAAAAAATTTAAATGGTATTGAATTTGCAAACGGCACACTAACGTGGGATTTGTGGTGATGGCTTGGTGATAACAGCTGACACAATCTAAAGGTTGAATGTTGTGTTACCGTTTCTCATCTCTTTTTCTCCATGTAGTTATCAGTTTGCGGTTATATTGCTGATCTACCTTCTCCCTCTGCTGGTGATGCTGGTGACATACACTATAGTCGGCCGATCGCTGTGGGGTGGGCACATCCCTGGAGAGGCGTCAGACCATTACCATAGCCAGATAAATGCCAAGAGAAAGGTTACATTGTTCCTTTTTTTTTTACTACTCAGTTTGACTACAAATCCTCTGAGCTGACCTGATCTTAACAGAAAAAAACACAGCAGCAATTACTCGGGCTCATATGTCTTCTTATTTTCCATAGGTGGTGAAGATGATGGTTGTGGTGGTGGTGACGTTTGCCCTATGCTGGCTGCCCTACCATGTCTACTTCATACTGGGATCATTTAACAGAGACATTTATAAGCAACATTACATTCAGCAGGTTCACGGATGCCTCTCTGTTTTATATTCTTGAATCTGTAGTTTTGTGTTTACTCATTATTTTTTGTCTTCATCAGGTGTATCTGGCCATATTCTGGCTGGCAATGAGTTCAACTATGTACAATCCTATTATTTACTGCTGTCTAAACCAAAGGTGATCTGGCAGTAATTGTGCCGAGTTTAAAAATAATATTATAGCTTCAAAAACGTCAGTAAATCGGACATAAATCCATCTTTTCCTGCAGGTTTCGCGCTGGTTTCCGTCATGCCTTTGCTTGGTGTCCCTTCATCAAAGTGTCAGAGGAGGACAAGATGGAACTGCAGCA